TTTTTTTTTGAGACGGAGTCTCGCTCTGTCGCCCGGGCTGGAGTGCAGTGGCCAGATCTCAGCTTACTGCAAGCTCCACCTCCCGGGTTTACGCCATTCTTCTGCCTCAGCCTCCCAAGTAGCTGGGACTACAGGCGCCCGCCACCTCGCCCGGCTAGTTTTTTTTTGGTATTTTTTAGTAGAGACGGGATTTCACCGTGTTAGCCAGGATGGTCTCGATCTCCTGACCTCGTGATCCGCCGGCTATTTCTTAACAGATTTAACTGCCTAAGACAGAGGCAGGCAAACTTTTCCTGTTAAGGGCCAGATAGAAAATATATTAGGCTTTGCAGCCTATATGGTCTCTGTTGCAACTGCCCAACTCTGCCATTTAGTAGGGAAACAGCCATATAGACAGTATATAAACAGATGTATTGATGGGAAAATGAAAATGACTTCATCTACAGAAGTAGGCATTGGGTTACAGTTTGCTGTCACCTAGCCTAAGACGCGATTTTTTTAAGGTAGTTCCTCATGGGTTTGTACATATTTCTAAAGGTTTGTTAAGTTCCACTGTTGATGCCTGTTAGATTATAACCTTGAACTGTCATACTTAGATAGAGTTGACCTTGTGTTTTATCTCAGATTTTTTGTGACCAATTATAATTAAAACAGTATGACTTAATATAATGCACTTACTAAACCCATGAAGCAGCTATACCTATATAAGTCATTTTAAAGGAAAAATTGTATGCAGTTTCAGGTTTAAAGATTAATTTATTTCAGAAATCAGGCTGGGAACTAAAGAAAACAATGTAAAAACAAAGATTAATTTCTGAGAAGCCCCAAATAAGTTTACAACTGTGTTTTCTTGGTATGACTGACAGAGATATAACATAGCTTGGTGCTTTCTTTCCCACAGGATGTCTTTTAATCTCTTTCTCATACACTTTTAGGGATCCAGATTAGATGATCAAAGATGTGCTCCACCACCTGCTACCACAAAGGGTCCGACAGTACCAGATGAAGACTTTTTCAGCCTTATTTTACGGTCCCAGGCAAAGAGAATGGATGAACAGAGAGTTCTTTTACAAAGAGATCAAAACAGAGACACTGACTTTGGGCTAAAGGACTTTTTGCAAAGTAATGCTTTGTTGCAGTTTAAAAATTCAGGGAAAAAATCAGCAGACCACTAGTTACTATAGATGTATTTTTTTTTCCTTTCAGAACACGGTAAGGAAACAATCTATTAATTTTTTCCTTAAAAGGAGAATTTATAGCACTGTAATACAGCTTAAAATATTTTTAGAATAATGTAAATAGTTAACCTTCAGTAGTCTATTAAGGCATTACTACTTCTCTGGACACGCGCATGTTTGAGGGTGGAGGTGTCCTGTAAAGGTGCTTCATCATCTGTGATTACTTGGGATGTGTTCTTTGGCAGCTTGTTAGGTTACTTTACCTAGTGTTTGTAAAGTAGGAAGTTAAGTGAATCATAGATTAGAATTTAATCCTCTTATGGAAATAATTTTTTAAAATCTTGACAATGGCATTTTTTTTTTACACATAACCATGGATGTAGTGGGAAACAATGCTGTTTAGTAAAAATAATGTACTTGATCAATGTAAAAAAGCATATAAAATAGTCTTATTAAAAATCTAGTTTTTTTTTTTTCTCCATGAAAATCTATTTTCAATATTTTTTAGGCCAGTGAGTACAAAAGAAACTCTGCTTCTTGGGCTGGGCATGGTGGCTCATGCCTGTAATCCCAGCACTTTGGGAGGCTGAGGCAGGAGGATCGCTTAAGGCTAGGAGTTCAAGACCAACCTGAGCAACATAGTAACACCCCCATGTCTACAAAAAATAAATCAGCAGCCAGGCTCATGCCTGTAATCCCAGCATTTGGGAGGCCTACGTGGGTGGATCACTTGAGGTCAGGAGTTTGAGACCTTCGTGGCCAACATGGCGAAACCCCATCTCTACTAAAAATACAAAAATTAGCTGGCCATGGTGGCATGCACCTGTAGTTTCAGCTACTTGGGAAGCTGAGGCAAGAGAATCGCTTGAACCCCTGGGAGGCTGAGACTGCAGTGAGCCGAGACCAGCCACTGGAGTCCAGCCTGGGTAAAAAAGCAAGACTCTGTCTCAAAAAAAAAAAAAAGAAGATAGCAAGCATGCTGGCACACACCTGTAGTCCCAACTACTTAAGAGGCTGAGCCAGGAGGACCACTTGAGCCCAGGAGGTGGAGGCTGCACTCCAGCCTGGGTGACAGAACAAGACCCTGTCTCTAGAAAACAAGTATCTTTTGTGTGTTTTGGGCTATTTGTTTAAAATATATATATATTTAAAATGGTCTCTTCTGTTCCATAATACTGCTGTAAAACAAACTTTTCTAAGTTCCAATATAAAAAAAACAAAAAACACCATGTGGTTAGGTCAAGAACCTAGGACACATAAATAGAAAACGGATGAAAACTCACAAAAATTAAGTATAAAAGAGGTCAGCTAGAACATTAGTTGTCATTAAGCCTTGTCTTCCTTATCCCAGATACTGAAGGCAGTTTACAAGGGGATAACAAAGTAACTGTAGCAAAAGACAAGTACGGGACAGACCAGGGCCTGGAGTAACACTGCATCACAGACTGCAAAAGCCCATGCTTGGAACAAGTTGCCAACTTGTTCCACTCTCCTTGCTTCTGACTGTGCACAGCTGGGATGGGATCTGGGGATGTGGACCCCTATTCTTTCAAAAAGTCATTCAGGTGATTTGGATGGGCCAATAGAAATATTTATCTAAATGGCCAATGTTTTTTAAAGAGAGAGTCATAATCTGGAATTAAAGTGCTCAGCCAAAAAAAAAAAGTACTAAATTAAAACCTGGATTACATTATGTTTTATGTATACTATAAGGTGTGATGTCCTGGATAGCATTTTAAAAACTCAAGTAAGTTTCATGGGGTTCTTATAAGAAAATTCAGTAAGACAGTATACCAAACCACAATGTAAAAAGTTTATTTTGTGTATATAATAGTTCTTACAGCCTGTAAACATTCAACATTAAACATTGTTTTTAATAGCTGTCTATCTACCCTGTTCTGATTTTCCTAAAAGCTTCACACTGGGCACAATGGCTCACGCCTGTAATCCCAACACTTTGGGAGGCCGACAAGGGCAGATCACTTGAGGTCAGGAGTTCGAGACCAGCCTGACGAAACCCCATCTCTACTAAAAATACAAACATTAGCCAGGCATGGTGACGCACACCTGTAATCCCAGCTACTTGGGAGGCTGAGGCAGGAGAATCGCTTGAACCTGGGAGGTGGAGGTTGCAGTGAGCCGAGGTTGCGCCACCGCACTCCAGCCTGGGCGACAGAGCAAAACTCTCAAAGTAAAATTAAATTTTAAAAAAGCTTCACACTATAAACCTTAATTTTAATGACATATTGGCTAGTCAATAAGCCTTATCTCTTTTCTGATAATAAACTGACCCTGATGTGTTCAATTTGCTTTCATATTTAAGTCTTTCCTGAATTGCTGTCGTCATTCAACAGCAGCTGCACGTTGCCTTGCTAGCTGTCAAAGTAGATTTCATCCCCAAATGGATATCTGTAATGAAAGAATACAAAGGTGAAATTTTATTTAAAATTTTTTAAAAAGAATTTGTTTTTGGATTAAAAGGCATGCAAGCAGCTTTAATTCCATTCACAGTTACAGTCTATCACCTGGGGCATTCACTACTTTTCAGAGTCGAATCACAGTTCAAAAGACAGCTCTCACCTTGGGGTCAGTGTGAACATGTCTTGTCCCCAGAGGACTACTTTATATGCATGGATGTTCACAAATTTATTCTAAACTGCAGGTGTCTGTCAGGATTCATTTGTTATATGCCCTCTGTGTTAAAAATCTTAAAATCCTTTTGCACTTCTTAGAAAAAATAACCTTTCTGATGAAATACTAAAGATGTTTGCAGTATTAAACTAGAATATATTAACATGTATAATTTTTTTTGAGACAAGGTCTTGCCCTGTCACCCAGGCTGGAGTACAGTGGCTAGATCATAACTTACTGCCACCTCGCCATCTTCTTCTCTCAGCCCTCCAAGTGGCTGGGACTACAGGTGTGTACCAGCATGCCTGGCTAGTTTTATTTTTAGTAGATAGCCTTGAACTCCTGAGCTTAAGCCATTATCCTCCCTCGACCTCCCAAAATGCTGGGATTGTAAGCATAAGCCACTGCGCCTGGCCTAAAATTAAATTGTTACAGGCACATAAGTAACACTTCCTGGATCCAAAAATGTGCATTCTGCATTTCGTATTAAAATGAAAAAGCAAATGCTTGGGATACAAATATCTGCATGAAAATTTAAAGACTTTATTCCTGACTGGTATCATTTTTAGTAAGCAGTTGAACATAACTTGTAGTGTGAATATGGTTAAAACAAAGAACACCTGATGTCTGTGAAATCTTGTAGTGTGAATATGGTTAAAACAAAGGACACCTGATGTCTGTGAAATCTGCTAAGGACAGGTACAAAATTTATGAATTGCTTTTTAAACAGTTTAAAATGAGGAATGCTTTTGAGAATAAGAAAGACTAATGTAAAGTGCTGACTGATGTCCTGTCTGCAGTTAAGGAAGACACCCAACTTTTCTTCCTCATTATGGTATTCTCTGTGTACAGATTTCTAAAAATGCAAACTTCCTATGGACAAGACAATATGATCTGCTATAATATAAATTAAGATATGATAATATGCTAGGATTCTGAGTAACATGAAAAATAGGTCTTATAAACAGCCCATATACTTCATTTGGTGGGGGAAAAGAATAATGTCATTTTCAGTCGACTGACTCTGTAAAACAGATTACCAATGTTATCTAAATTGCCCTGGCAGTCTTCAGTTTTCTCTAAGTAAACATAAAGTAAAAGTGACAATAAGGATGCAGGTGTAGTAATAGCTGCAGAAAAGATGAAACTACAAAGCCACAATGGCCTGTGGGCAGGCTACATAGAGACAAGCTGAGGTGTCAGTCAGACTGATCCTGGTAATGACACTCCATGGCTGCATGAAGATGCTGGAGGCACCAAGTGGGTGGCCTGAACTCTAGTGGATTCCACTAGGCAACGTAAGTTGGTTAGTGGGTTCCTGTAAGTGCCTATAACAATAAAATTTCTTTTTCAATGTCCCCAATTCAAACTGGTCTCCTTAACTATCCAGAATCAGTGATGCCTGCCATCTGTTCATCTTAAACACTTCCTACTTTATGGGATGTAAATATCAAAGAGAAGATGAAATTAAAAGCTTTTATATACATACATGTGTTTGTTAATTCTAATTGTCAGTAAAAATGTGAATGTTGAAGTTGGCACCTTTGTAGTAATCAGAATACTTGCAGAGAAGAGAAAGAGAGTGAAGAGTATACTTTACAGAGCTCGAAGGAGACTTGAGGCTGTCGTTTGTGCTGGTGTTCCTCTAGCCACAGGGGCTGCTGACCGGATCCTGTCCACGTGGTCCAGCCACACCACTTGTGGGGCTGTATGTGCTGCCTTGGTCCGGGCTGCCCACGGCTTCAGACTTGAGCTGGGCCTTTTCCACTGCAGGTGAACCTTCTGTATTCCCCGATGTGTCTTGGCCAGAGACAGGCTTGGCAGACTGGCTGCTTTCAGTACTGCTTTCTTTCAGTGTGCCTTCCCCCAGGATTCCACCTATCTCCTTGGGCTTTGTATCCAAAACAGGTGATTTCTGCTATAAAGTACAAAATTACATTTTAACTGTTTAATGTAATGTGAAGTCTTAGTAATCAAACATATCTAAAAAGTTCCCACCCTAATCTGTTGTAGCAAGCTCCAAACTCTTTCAAATCCAGGGTCCAGTGCTAAGTTATAATTATGTAAATGTTATTATACCTCACCAAACTCCACTGTACTCCCATGGAGGAGTGGGAACACTTAGGGCCTACTGGGTGGTCTAGTGGCCCAGCTTAGAAGGCGTCAAGAGAATTGGTCATCAGTATTGTTAACTTCTCTAGCCTGGTGAGAATAATTCATTTGACAAATATTTATTGAGCATATATTAAGTTCTAGGTGTTAGGGATACAGCAGGAACAAAATACATAAAACTGTTCTCACTGGAACTTATATTTAGGTTACAAGAAAATCACACAAGTATGATATATATGTTGAATTAAAGAGGCTATGTAAAAAAAGCAGAGAAGATATGACTGCTGAATGTGGGGTGGGCTGGTAGGGTCAAATTATAGTTTAAATCAGGGTGGTCTGAAAACATGATATGGCATCCAGCCAAACTTAAAGTTTTGTAAGTGAAGGAGAAATAAAATCCTTTACAGACAAGCAAATGCTGAGAGATTTTGTCACCACCAGGCCTGCCTTACAAGAGCTCCTGAAGGAAGCACTAAA